CTGATGATAATCACTGTGATGGATGGAGTGGCAGGACGATTCATGGACGAATGATAAAAGCGGTAATGCTATGCAGGCTTAATGTGTTATCAGGGCTATAATTTAAGATTGTTAAAGCCTCTAACCCTGGGTGCTGATGTTACATCCCTGCCTTGAACAGTAACTGGAAAACCACAGACAGCTGAGCTCAGTACTCTCTGGGTATGTTTGCCAATATGTGAGGTTGACACTGGCAGTCTCCATAATGAAAATACACTTTAAAGGAACCACTAATTAGAAAGACCTCTTATCTGTCTGTGCTGATGGTCTACACCCAACGTCTTGCTGCTGTTTTATTTTTTAAACCTGTTCATCTTGAAAACCCATATCGGTCCTTGCTGGTTTTCTCCAGGCAGATCTTACTGCAGCTAAGCTACTGTCATGAACAGATGAAAAAAAGGTGGTTTTGTACTTCTAAAGGGTGCTCCACAGAGAGAGAGAGAGAGAGAGATCCTACCTATGACTTTGTCCTTCTTGCCATTCCTGATGGGAGTGCAGAGCAAGCTCTTTATCTGGTTGCTGGTGTGATCTGGGTTTTCACTCTGTCAGAGGACAAGGTAGATAATTACTCAATTTGGGAAAAGGAGAGGAAAGAACAGAAAAAGAAACAGAAAAAGAAAAGAAAACATTTACTAACTGTCCAGGGGAAGCGTTGGTCCTTGGTGACGTCTGCGATGTTGAGAGGCAGCATGGTGTTTTTAACATACTGGGCGTACATGTAGTTAATCTGACTGACATCACAGTCCCTGAGGAGACACATAACCACACAAACAACTTCATAATGAACCATTCATAATGAGAAGAAACACCACGTTTGTATGTACCAATCCGTGTTGTTTAGACAGTACTAGAACACACTTTCCAATTTTAAGACAGTTAGCTTGGGGTTGTATGGACTTCGAATGCACTTATAAGTCATGTTGGACAGAATCGTCTGCCAAATATATTGTTTAAACCCAACAAAGATGTCTGAATGTGTAATTATAAAATGATACACAATGAATATAGACTATATACATTTGATGTAAAACATGGTGTCTTAGCCTGTCAGATTAAAATAATAATACTGTTTAGACACTTGAGGGCAGCACAACAAACTGTAAATATTGTAACCCTGACACATTATCACCTCATAAAATTGATATGGCTGACGTGTTGGCAACCAATTCCATACTTTAACCAACAGACACAGAGCAACATTAGCATTCATTTGGAGTGGTGTTTGTGTCCAGCTGATGAATGTGAGTTTAATATTCACTATGCTTTTAGCTCTGTTTTGGGCTCCACCAACTCCTGAGGTAAATGTATCTGACTCTTTAGCTGCTAAATGCTCCACTATGCTCACCAGCTAGCCGCTAACTTTGTCTTTCTGCTGTTTGGTGCCGGGCAGGTGGCGTACAATGGATTTATCTTTTTGGTTAAAAACAGCTGTTGTTGTTACTGAAAACAAGCTTGATGAGTGCTAAACTACACTTACACACTTGCAGGTTGTGAAATCAAAACATTTTAGTCTATAACTATCCATTTAATTTGGACATACAAAAAAACACAAAGTATTTAATAATGAGCATTTTGAGTAGAAATCCACCATTACAATATTTTTGTATTTGGAACATAAATGGATTAAGAAACTTTCTTAGTGACACCTGGAAGATTTATCTGGACTGTTTCTTCACTCAGCTTTGCCCAGCTGAGCCTTGGATCAATCCGGCAACCACTATAACCCTAAACCTGCTTCTAAAGCTCCAGGGCCGACTGCACTGAGTAATAAAACATCTGCTGGTTAATGAGAGAACTGCAGCCACAAGGCTGCACCTGAGTCCACCCCATGCCCTGGCTCAGGTCTGAGAGCTGAAGCAGTCAGTCACGTCTGTCAGCGCTTAATAAGCCTGTTTGTTATCTTTACTCGCTCCAAGTCCGACCACAGAGTCAGCTATAATACTGCAATGATAAATGATGGAAAATGGATATATAAACATAACATGAGGTTATGGCAAAAGCCAGTGGATTTTGGCTGTAGTGCTGCGGCAGGACGGTATGTGTGTGCGCGAGTGGGAGGGAATATGAGAGTGTGTTAGTGAATGACAGAAAGGACATCAAATAGAAAATGTGTGTTTCAGTGGGTGTGTGCTCAGGAGAAAAGCAGTATGTAACTAAGTACATTTACTCAAGCACTGTACTGTAATTTTGAGGTACTTGTACTTTATTTGAATATTTTTATTTTCGACTACTTAATTTTTTACACTGTGTTTTTGTTTAATGAATACTTTTGTTCTTGTGTGAGTGTTTCTGTGTGTGTGTTTTGCTTGGTTTCCAACATTCTATCCATGAACTGTTTCATTTTGGATGACTTTAAGGCTTCAGGGTAATTATAACAATGTGTTCTGTCCATACTGGCCTCAGCTCTTTCTCTCTCTCACACACGCGCTTCAGATGGACATGCTGCACAGTACGTGCGTTTGTGCTCGAGTTTAATTACCCAAACACACTAAAATCCACATTTCCTTTCCCTCTCTCTGTGATTGACTTAAATGAGGCCACAGAATAGCCACCGGCATCACTAAAAACCATGACAGCACTACACGGGCTTTCAATTCGGGCCCACAATCAAACTCCAGATCCAGAAAAAGTTGACTGCCCCATTCTGTCAACCTGAAACGCTCCGCCTGCCATTCCTGCGAGCCGGATCAACATCGGTTCAGCTTGACTGAACTTCCTGCTTTGGCGAAACAGGCGCCTTGTCATTCGGAAGCCGCAGCCCGAGGTTAATGTCACTATAAAAAGCCTCCTGCGGTTCCAGACGGTCAAAGCTAACATCCTGCAGGGGCCCCTCCCCTCCCGCGTTGGCCCCAGTTGGAGCTGCCCGGTTTTGCCATATCGCAGCCCTCCCAGTGAAACAGCACATACACACAGTGGTATCTAAAGGCAGTTATTAGATCTAAACAGCCACGAGAGCAGGCTGTAAAAAAATGAGACGTTATGAAGGACGAGACAAGATTAGACATCTGGTTTGTGTCATCCCTGACAGTGTTGGGAGCTTCACAACTGCCTATTTCCCTCTCTTTGCTTGCTCACTTACATACTGAACTTTGTTTGCACACGCAGATATAACCGATTTAATTTGGAGGATATCCACTCAATGGGTTTAAAAGCAGTTCGATCTGTTCATACCCTGGAAAAACCTCAAAACAGGAAGCTGACAGGTCTACTACCAAAAAAAGGAGGTCACAAACTCTGTTTTCTATCAGGTTTTATTGATTTTATGTCTTTTAGCTTTCTCTCTGCCTGAGAAGGTATTAGTGCAAGAATAGAATCAATAAAACCTGAGAGAAAGCATTGCTTGTGACCCTGTTCTCAGTACAATGAAGATATATCAGTATCAACTGTGAGCTTCCTGTTTTTGAAAAGAAATTCAGGTGTTATTCAGGCCTTATGGGTAGTCATATTGGTCTGTGTTTAAAGGTTATGGCTGGCATTATTTTAAAATGTATCTTATCTTATTACTGTCAAAATATCCAATAAAAGGACCAAAACCAACACTGTGCTAGTCCATTTCTCCATCCGTTCTGACTTCCCTACTCCTCTTAAAAAGTTAACCATAAATACACTACTCCAACATTACTCAAACTGGAGTAAATGGTGCATTTTTGGGGGAATATTTTCAGCTGCAGACACACATTTGTTGCACTGGAGAGGGTTAGGGTATGGACATGTTTTAATGCTCCTAGTTGAACTACATCTTCCAGAAGGGTAGCATACTGTATTTTTTAAAATCATATGACATGCTTAAGCAGTATGTGCTATAAGCAGTCTGTAGGCTAGTTGCTACAGATTAGGTGTATGGTTGAGTTACCTGATAGCATACCTATGACTAAGGGTTGAGCATGGAACTATAATGACTCAAATAATCCTTTAAATTTCCTAGAAAAACATAAATTGTCAATTTAGAACCAAGGCTGGATTACCAACCAGGCCAAGTTAGCAACTGTCCTGGGGCCCTAGACCATCAAGGGTCCCAAAAAAAGTACAATATTAGTTGATGTATAAGTAAGTGAGTTAAGTGAGTGTCCCTGTGTCAAAATGTAGTTTTAACCTGATTAAACCCATCTGCCCATCATAGCCGAGTTTGGGGTTCAGGGTTAGGGGTATACAGGTATGGTTGGTTAGGGGTTAGGGTGGGTCTTACAAGGCTAAGACCATCATTATTTCAACTGGGACTTTGCTTACAGGGTACATATTCCAAGTTTTTAATAAAATTACCACATGAGCAAACCCAGCAAATGCTGTACACAACTCACTGGGAAGAGCAACACAGGGTTCAAAGCGGCCCAGTAGCTCATTTGTGTTAGCATTTTCAGATGACTTTTCATAATTTCTTATTTTGGTTGAAGTCAGAAAAATCATGGTCCAATTAGTAGCTCTTTTTACTGAGTTTTTAATTGCATCTCATGGTTATTTCGTGATTGAACCGCTGACAACTGAACCATCTTCGTGACAACCGCGCAAACTATTTCGGCTTTTTACTTCAGCTTTTGTCAAACCAAAGTTTTATTATTTCAAATAGTATTTGAAGTTTTTTGGTCAATTTATTTATTTTAATTTCTCTCATTATAATGCTAAGTAATAAGTATCCTTATTCATACAATCACATGTCATAGACTCTCACAATCTGACGCAGATGTTGGTTTGATACTAAAACGCCTCAATTAAAGCAGCTGCGAGCTGACATTTTGTCCCAATAATCAACATGTGTGAATCTGACCATTTCTTGAGGAATTCCAAGTATTCAGCATATCCTCCAGATGTTTATTCTTGTCAGGATGGAGAAGCTACTTATTCAGTATTGGAAACCTACACAGTAGTTCTAGCTGAAGCACATACCGTACATACTTAAGGAAAACTGATCTGCTCTCATTACTATGAAATCAGGTTAAGGAATTCTTGCACATCTAGTGTATTAACAATACATTCTACTATGATTATGTAATCCATCAATGTGCAGCATATCTGTATTTCAGGTAGACCATACTGAGGCCAAAACCTAATATAAGACCAATATAGGCCCCATACAGCAAACACAATTGTGCACACATGCACACAGTCCAGTTCTGTTGCTTGGGCTGAGATTAAGATTGAATTTTAGATGCTGCGTAGCAACTGGGGAGGACAGGCCACCCTGGAGATGAGGGGGGCCGGAGGAGGAGGGAGGAAGGGGGAGGGCTTTATATCTCATTGCGTCTTAAATCATATTACGGCTTATTCACTCCTCCTGGCTGGAGCACGAGTTGATGTCAGGAAGCTCTGCAGCTGTAGCCTCCTCCAAGCCTTTTCTGCTCATCCCAAACATCTACTCATCCTGCCTGTACACCCTTAAGGAGATACACTACAGGCAAAAACACTTTTTTTTTTATTTATGTACCAGACATTTTTTTGTCTTTCATGTCTTCTTTCAGAGTAGTGGAAATGAAAGCCCCATAATTGACATTTAGGTGTTTATTTTATCACACTTTGTCTATATGTGCCTGTAGGTTTCACTAAAAGTTAGCATCAAATAATTAAACATAACATTTCAGAAAACTTGTATTACCAGAAAGAACTGTCTTAATGTAAGTAATCCACTGGGGATATCTATAGTTAAATTACTGTATTCACCTGTTGTGTCTTTTTCCATACTGAGTTTTTTTTTCCCGCACACTCTGAGCCAGAGATCTCTGCTTCAGTAGAACTTACATACACCAAAACTTACAGTTTTATTCCTAGCTATATTCTGAGAGCTTTGTTTATATATCATTCATAGCATGATTTATATCACATTTTGTCCCCAGGAACATGGCGGAAATAGTTTTTTTATGGTTGTTGACAGTATTTTCTCATTTATGGAGTGATAAAAAGGAAGAACTAAAATTCCCTCTGTCTCTAAACCTTTGACTTTAATATGTCAACAAAATACAATGAGTTATTCACTGATTTCTGTATGCAAAATAACTAGATAATGCCTCATTTGCATACGTAGCCATCAAAACGTAAGAGAACGCTCAATATAAAAAAATATTTTCTAACCCTATTCACCTGTAGTGGCAAATACAGTTTGGTGAACAAAGCCAACCCAGTGTTCATGTAAACTAATGTGCAGCCTTATCAGTGGAAAGAGTTTACATGGTCTTCATAATAAAAGCTGTGAGAAGTGGTTGAAAAGTGGACAGTGAATTGTGATTTTTTTTTCACATTCTTCACTGTTAACTTATAGTTTATTGGAAATGGGGCTTTAATTTGGAAAAACACACCAACAATGCCACAGTGTTCTCATTTGTTAATGGTTGTGATGTAAAGGTAGCTCTATGACAATGTTTCAATAATTCTTCATATAACAAGTGCTTTTGTGAGTGGTAATATACAGTACAAATAAGGTAACAGGAATTGTATTTTGTAATGTATTTTCCCTAATCCATCTCCATCCACTGTAGTACAACTCCTGCTTCAAATATGCAACTAATATAGCTGTCACATGCAATAACGGTGCATGCTGACCTAAAAACAACTGTGTCTGTGCGTGACGGATGATCGTTAGACCCTCTTGGAAAGGTCTCGGACCGCCTCCAAGATAGTAAAAGGGCCTACTTCGTCATGATAAACAGGTTGTGATTGAGGAGCTGTCAAATCAACTCTAAAGACTGTGCGTTGAGCCAAAGGAGCCTGGCTAATGAGAACAAGCGCTTTGAGTCCAAAGCGGGCGATCAAATGTCTGGGAATTTGGCAGGTGAAGAAGGCGGATTACCTCAGAAAGATCCCACGGGGCTGCAAATCAGCTCTGCAAACTTATGAGTATTGGAGCGAGCCACTCTGTCTTGTCTTTACTCTTAAAATTCAGAGTGACTGAATGGGCACAATAAGGCTTTCTCTATACTGCCAAAACATTGCCTGACAACCATTTTTCTGCTTCTCCTTCTGTGAGCGTATATAACGATAATGAATCCAAGTGCCTGTTACACAAACGTCATCCGAGGGCCTCTTAGGTGAGGAAAAGGGTAGTTTGCAAATTCAAGGAAACATTAGCGCTAATAACTGGTGGAAATAGCTGCAGTACGCCTCAAGACTAATCTGCAGGACTTTTAATTCAATAACGGTTTTCAGTTGAGGGTGATCACCTTACCTTTTGGGGGCGTCTAGGACTTCACCCAGCTCCTCATATTCCATGTGAAAGACACTGGAGAAGGAGTTCTGCAAAAAGAATAAAAGCACATTTATTTGTCTGAAATTGCAGACTGAGGGATGTAGCTTTTTGGGGGGCAATGTGTGCTTAGCATAATGACATTAGGATCAGGTGACAACACATAAATACACACTTGGTTTGGTCTGAATTCGAAGCTCAAAAAAGGTCTTCAGTGCCTTGCTGCAGGTCCACCTTGTATGTTTTCTGGCCATATCAACTTCCTCATTCCTTCCAATTAAGCCATTACAGTTAAACCCCACATCCAAATACTGTAAATTAAGCAGTGGTACCGTGCACGCTGCCTAAAACACGTCTGCAGGCATGAGAAAAAGCGACGTTGATCTATTACCCATCAAGCCTTGCCAGAAGGAGAGTTTATTTCGACATTCCTTTTGCCTTTCCCCCCCTTATAGGGACTTGTTTTCTCTCAACCTGCACTCCCAACCCCTCGCAAAGGATCCTTTTTCCATTTTTAAGAGGTGGGGACAGGATGTTAAAGATGGACGAGGCTTCTTCGTTTTGGAAAAATTAGCCCCCTTACCCTTGCACGCACATACACACACCTTCGTTCTGTGGCATGACTTCACTCTGATCTATCTAGGTGAGGGTAATAAAGCTGTTTTAAACAGAAAAAGGACCCGGCAATGTTATGACATTTATTGGGGTCTCTGGCAAGGGGGAAAGTTTATAACAGGATGACATTGGATAATGGATTTTTTTTCCTGCGTGTAGGAATATTGAAATAAATCGGGCTTGTCTTCCCATATTCTTTGGAAGGATCAGTAAAGATTTTACATGTCAAGGAAGGATGGTTCCCTGGTGATGTCTGTTTTCACAAGCAGTTATCAGCGTCAGTGGCAGGTACATCAATCTCATGCATCACCAGTCATTTTCTCAATCCATAACACGACACACCACACTGTGTGATTTATGGGTTTAATAGAGGAGCTGAGCATTGGAGAATGAAACCAAAGGAAAGAGATCGGATACTGTCCTAACCAGAAAACTGGCAGCATTAGTTGTTCAAATGCTTTCCTAGAAAGTGACCTCTTGTGTGGTCCTCCCTAGGTAGCAAAGGCAGAAGTAGCTTGACATTGTTAGACCACTGCAAAATGATTTCAGTGAGAAGTTTAGACTCATGGATGGGTCAACAAAGATTTAACACAAGAAACTCTGAATTGCATTCTGTCTCCTACTAACAGTTGCTGATTTATTTTAACCATGACTGCAGTCTTTCTCTAATTAAACAAGTAGTTTCCGCCATGCAGTGCCAACAGTGTAGCTCTAGGGATTGCAGTTTTGGTATGCTGGTGAAATTGAAATTTGGTACAGACATCAATGGTCAGTGTCTCTTTTCATGTTGCCATGCTGATGTTTAATTACACCCTTACCCTTACAGAGTGTTTTAATCATGTCAAGTTCTTTGCATATTTCTCGAAAGTTGACCAACTACTTTCAGTTACCTAAACTCGAGGCTGTAGATGAAAAAACTAAATATGAATAATCATATGGGTGGTATTGGAAAGCAATTAAAAAATGCATATTTTATTGTTTAGACAGGAGGAAAAGGGAGGGAAGACTGGGAGGGGTAGGGAGGACAGAAAATAAAGAGAAAATAGAAAACAGCAGGTAGTTTAACAACTGTACAGATTGGTACAACATGTACACACACACAATATGTTTCAGGACACATGTAGCCAATTCCAGAATTATTTCTACTGGGGAGAGTTAAACAACTCAGGAGAACAAAACGCTCCCAGTGGCGAGCCAGATGTCAAACCCTATCACATAACAGTCACACACCCAAACCCAAAACACACACATTCATGCACACACACCATACAAATGCCAGCATGCTCAGACACATGCAAACAGATACGAACAAAACACACACATGCATACAAGCATAACACATAGAAGTTATTTCATATACACACACTTACACATATACATACAATATGAACACAAGCATACACACATCACTGTTTCTAAACAGATGCCACACACTGCCGTAAAGTGAAGAGAGCCAACGCAGGCCAACGTCTTGAAAACTCCCGTGTTATTGTCGGTACAGTGGAGTTTTAAAGACCAGTCATTTACTAGACTTCCTACAGGAAAGCTTCATTCCTTGAGAAGAGGTTATGTTAAAATCCACAGACCTGTGGGTCCTGCTTGAGAAACTACAGACGTGTAACGCTGACACCTGTATACAGAGGGCCGTCTGGCAGATAAGGCCAGTAAAAGTTCCTAATCTCAGAGTAAATGTTTAGTAAGGAAAGAGACAGAAGAGAGAAAAAAGGGGAGGGGTATGAAAGAAAAGGAGACAGCTGGTCTGGCAACCCTGAGGTCATGAGAGGGACAAACACACACACACACATATACATGTTATAATAAAGTGGCTTATAACAGAGCATATAGAGCTCAGTACATGAAATAAAACATCATGATTCATCATATTAAAGAGCTGGTCCACCCAAATTATCCAAGGTCTTCTGAATGTCAATTAGTTGACATAGTTAGTGGCTATGTGAGGCTGTACTAGCTAACTGCTAGCGTCAGAATATTACTGTGAATAATGTTCACAATTACCGTAATTTAATTGTCATGTGATTTTGTAGCTCACTTTTGAAATGTCACAAAAAAGAAAATGCAAATTAGGCGCCCCATTAATGGCATCAAAAACCACCTCAAGCACGTGTAAAAGTTAATTCAAACTTTTCTGATGGGATACTTAAAAATGCGCAATAATACCTTGATTCAATTCAATTCAATTCAATTTTATTTGTATAGCACAATTCATAACAGAAGTTATCTCAGGACACTTTTCAAATAGAGCAGGTCTAGACCGAACTTGATGGAAACATGGCTAATGAAAATGAGACCATGTTAATGTTCCCCATCTTAGTTTAGCATGTTAGCATGCTAACATTTACTAATTTTATGATGGGGATGTCGTTAGCTTAGATATTTCTATGGGACAAATAGGATTTTTTTGCCTGATGACTGAGCTAGATGAAAGATCTGTGGATCACCAAGGTTATCAAAATCAGTCCTCAGGGGAACAAGAATGCTGGTACCAAATTTCATGGCAATCTATCTAATATTTGACGAGACAATTCCTTAAAATCCTCAAATGTCAACCTCATGGCGTTGCTAAAGAAATGGTCAGGGGATCACAAAATTCTGTAGGGTTCATCCTCTCATCCATCATGAATGTTTAGTGTTGCATATTACAAAGCAAATTAATCAAATTACCCCAAAAATACTGACAAACAGGCTACCTGGGGCCTTTGGAGCCCCTGAGATTCTGGTTGCCTGATTGGTAATCCAATTTTGGCAGCTTTGGTCAGCCGTTTTAAGAGGGACTATTTCTTCAGTAGAAAGTAGTTCCAATGGAAAATCCTCGTAGTGATGTCTGAGGATTAATCAGATGAACTGGGACCTTGTTCCTTGTGTCCTTCATTTAATGTCAAAACACATCACCTTTGTTTTGGGGTGGAGGTAAAAATCTCGGAGACAGATATCTCAAAACTTGGACACATAAAACCAAAACTATATGCAGGTATATACAGTATACCACTAGAGGCAGGATTTTCTCAGTCCTTTAATCTTCCTTGACTGTCTTTTGAATACATCTGTTATTTAGAGCTGTTCTGGAACTTTTATGAAAGCTTCTTTCATAGCAAGGACAAACAAGAGCCTTCATTTCAATGGGTCTAACCTGGTTATAATAAATACCAGGCAATGTAAAACGCCGATGTTTTGTAACCTAATACAAACCACTTCAACAGCATTGCGTTCCCTATCCAGTTAACCCAGACCTAAACACAAATACTGAATGGTGAATTGGCTGTGTGGTTGAAACCAATATTTAGAATAACTTGACATTCAGTACAGTCAGCCATCAGCCCAGTGGAATGAACTCTAAAACTGAAATCTTGTTGTTGGGATTGGTGGTGAGCTTGGAAATGACTTGGTGCAGTGATGTGTGCCAAGTGCAGTGATGTAGGTAAGTGCAGATAAACTTTGCAATGAATCCTGTTTATTGGAAAATATTACTAACGCCACAGAAATAAGACATCCCCCTATGTTTGAATCTTCACTGGAAAAAAGATTGATGAGTTAAACAAGAGGATTTCACACCTGAATGTTAAAATCCAACTCCCACACATCAGCTGCTAAACAGGCAATAATGTGCATTGAAGTTGACATTTTGTGGCATCAGTACTTAAAATAACATACCATTCTCTAAAGGTATTTACAATAACATGGCAGTCAGAACGCCAGACCTGTCAGATGCATCATTTTTTTGTTGAAAGGCTCATGGTTGCAAGTAATAAATGTGTTGAATGTGTCAAACTATCGTTAAGAATGGCTTGTTGTTATATTCAGGCAAATGCTGTGTGTGCGTGTGTGTGTGTGTGTGTGTGTGTGCAGGACTTTCTCAGGCAGACATACACACATCAGGCCTAAAGTAAGCACTCAGAGAAACAAAGGTTCTTCAGAGGTCCTTTGTTTAGAGAAGTGGTTGTTTGTACATCCAGTATGACTTCATTATGATATAATTGGTCATCCTCATATTTTAATTTTTTTTTTTTTATAAGAGCATATCAGAATTAGAACACATTGTAGTCCCTGAAAAGTGTCGTTACTGCTTACCATCAGTGTTCTGTGTCAATTACAATTTCAGTTTGGGGATTGGATGTCCTTAAAAGTGAAACAATAAGAGGTTTTAAGATGTTTTGTATATAGCTCTCTATTTGTCTATCGCTGTTTTGACATTGTGTGGAGTTTTTGATGTGTTGTTTCCTCTGCTGAATATGGTCTCTTATGTGACTTTACCTACCTACCCAAATCATGTGACACTAATCATTTGACTAGTTGCCCTTATGAAGGCCTGCATGGCTGATGAGTAGGCATGGTTTTGGCATGGTAACTGTTACTATAAGTAAATAGCCTTGAGGTTTTTAAAATTACTACCCTCTTGAGTGCCTCAGATTTCTTTAAC